GACCCCTGAAACATCGAAAAACTTCTACTAGATGACACAGCATAACAATCCAGAAGATTATGTCTTTTTCACATAGTTTTATGTATGTTACAGATTAGACATTTTAGACTACCATTCCCAATATGATGTACTTACTGTGCTTTTTAGTCTATGGAGTACCTGTATAGTTAACACAAATATTAAAATAAAATGTGAAGTACTTAGTTTGATTGTTAAGATTTATTAACAGCAGGATTATGAGAATGTTTACAACCTTTAATACAAAAGAGAGAAAACATCTTTATATGAAGATTAAAAATAACAAAGATATATTTACTGATTAAGATATTTATTAAGTGTATTAATTTTTTTAAATCAATCATTGCAAATCATCTGTTCATTAAGAGAAACTAAATTATGACTGAAAGCAAATTCAGTCAAGCAGATAATAAAAAATAAATGACACATCTAATTTAACAGGTACACATTAAAAACGTATGCTGGTGCTCTGAAGTTTGAGGTGGGCTCTTCAGAAACCACCTCGGAGGCGAAGAACCAAGTGCAGGGTTGATCCTTTCTGGATGTTGTAATCTGATAAGGTGCGGCCATCTTCCAATTGCTTGCCAGCAAACATAAGTCGCTGCTGCTCAGGGGGGATACCTTCCTTGTCCTGCAGCTTTTTCTTTAGATTCTCAATGGTATCAGCTGGCTCTACCTCCAGAGTGATGGTCTTCCCTGTCAGGGTCTTCACAAAAATCTGCATACCACCACGCAGACGCAATACCAAGTGGAGGGTGGATTCTTTCTGGATGTTGTAATCTGATAAGGTGCGGCCATCTTCCAATTGCTTGCCAGCAAAGATAAGTCGCTGCTGCTCAGGGGGGATACCTTCCTTGTCCTGCAGCTTTTTCTTTAGATTCTCAATGGTATCAGCTGGCTCTACCTCCAGAGTGATGGTCTTCCCTGTCAGGGTCTTCACGAAAATCTGCATGCCACCACGCACACTCAGTACCAAGTGGAGAGTGGATTCTATATACAAAACAAAACATGTCACTCTAATCCATATGTGATATTCTATCAGTATAACAGAGATTATAAATGCTTTCACAAAGATACTTCAACAAAAAAGCTATCATACAAGTGGAAGACCTCCCAATCATTAAATAATTCAGAAAGATGTGAAGCAGATCATTTGGGCTCATTATTACGAAATTTTCTTCATGATGTCTACCTGCCTTTTAGGTCCAAATATCTTTCTCAAGTCTTTCTGAAAGACCCTTAATCTATAATCCGCCCTCAAAGTGAAAACCGAGTCTCACAGCCATACAGTACAATTGGCAGAATATTTATTTTATTTTAATTTTTAGTTTTTATATTTGAGATGGGGGAAAATAAGATTTTGGCTAAATGATAGCAAGTATTCTGTGAATTTAATCTGTTCTTAATTTTGTCATAAATGTCATTCTGTTTTGTGTCGCCCTTAAGTACGAAACATTTTTCCTTTCTGTGGATCAACCTCCACGAAATCACTTTTAGGTCGATATATATTTCTCAAGTCTTTCTCAAAGACCCTTAATCTATGATCCGCCCTCAAAGTGAAAACCGAATTTCACAGCCATACAGTACAACTGGCAGAATATTTCTTTTGTTTTAATCTTTAGTTTTTATATTTGAGATGGGAGAAAATTCGATTTTGGCTAAATGATAGCAAGTATTCTGTGAATTTAATCTGTTCTTAATTTTGTCATAAATGTCATTCTGTTTTGTGTCGCCCTTAAGTACGAAACATTTTTCCTTTCTGTGGATCAACCTCCACGAAATCCAACAATTGTCCTGACTGCTAGTGCACAAATGAGTGAATGTGCATGCAGGAATTTTAGCTATACAGTACAACTGGCTGAATGTTTATTTTATTTTAATTTTTAGTTTTTATATTTGAGTTGGGAGAATTGTAAGATTTTGGCTAAATGATAGCAAGTATTCTGTGAATTTTATCTGTTCTTAATTTTGTCATAAATGTCATTCTGTTTTGTGTTGCCCTTAAATACGAAACATTTTTCCTTTCCAACAATTGGCCTGACTACTACTGCACAAATGGGTGAATGTGCATGCAGGAATTTTAACACCAACTCTCCGAAGAAAGGAAAAGAACAAATGAGTAAATGGGAATGTGAAAACAATATCATCTGTGCAGTGAACTTAACAATGCCCCTCAACTCTTACCACCTTTGTTCACCAGCACAGTAGTTGATTTTTTACAGAAATTTCATGTTCTTAGTTTCTGTAAATTATAACTGGTGGAAACTTATGTAATGCATACAAATTTCTTATACAGTAACCCTTTTTCACCTTTCTGTATATTGTAGTCAGAGAGTGTACGATCATCTTTCAACTGCTTTCCTGCAAAATTTAATCGTTGTTGATCAGAGGGAATTCCTTCCTTTTCCTCTAGATGTTGTTTCACGTTTTCAATGGTGTCTGAAGGTTCAACTTCAAGAGTACAGGTTTTTCCAGTGAGAGTTTTCACAAAGATTTGCATTCTGTCAATACAAAATTCACTACTTGTACAACTTCTCCAAATATATAAAAGCACAGATGTAAGTACAGTAATCCCTTGTCTAGAACCATCAAGAATGTATCATTATGTAAATCTATTAAGAATAAATTAAACATGCACTTGTAAGTCTCCCATTGTTACCAAGATTTTTAAATTTTTAGAGGTATAAAAAAGTTGACAGTGGAACCACGGTTCCGGAGAATTTGACGCAATTACGTCTCTGTATTTAAATTATTAGAGCAACGCGCAAGTGTTTGAAAAGCAATCGGGGAGGGGTTTGGTTGAGTTTTAAAATATTATATTATAATAATATATCGGGGGAATGTAATGTAATGTAATCTTCAATGTCATTCATCTTGTTACGAAAGCGGATTGTTGGCGGCAGTAATATAACACAACAATGCCGAGTAAAAATATGACGTTTCCTAGGTAATATAACAATGCACGCAAGATGTCCATTGTTGTCGGTCCATATTTACACATTATTGATATTGATCTTACAAGTTTTCCTTTCACTTTTTTGCCGAATGATCCTTCCGTATCGACGTATTTACGTCAAAAGTAAAGCCTTACCTACAATATTCGGAAATTACACACCTACTAAGACCATAATCATGAACTTAACGTGTTAGCAACATAAGCAAGAATGAGGCAAAGGATGATGTGAAAAACAGATGTAGGAATGTCAAAGAGATTAGGAGAGAACACGTGCATTTTCACATGTACAGTTCTATAAAAACGTGGTACCAACATCAGCAAGAATGAGGCAAAGGATGATGTGAAAAACAGATGTAGGAATGTCAAAGAGATTAGGAGAGAATACACGTGCATTTTAACATGTACAGTTCTATAACATGTTTGCAAGGCTACGTAAATTCAAATTTTCCACTTACAGGAAATGACTTTATGCACTTATTTTTGAATGTATATGAAAATTTTTGTTCGACAGTGGTGTAAGTTTGTACTCTTAACTTACTGCATTTTGCATAAAAATTTACTGAATTTGTCAAGGTGTTAGAATATAGCACAGCAGCAAGAACTGTAATTTGGGAAAGAAAGAGGCCCATGGTAAAAGAATCATACCAGTATAATCAATGTATCTGTAGAACACGACATGAGGGATGAAACTCCGTCTTTAGGAAGATAGTATAGGATTTTTAGGTTATGTAACTAGTCTTGCGCCTCAACTAATTAAGTAAGTGCGGAGATCTCGAAAAGCAATGCTTTGTTACACAAGAAATTTCCAGCCTTTTATGAAACAAAAAAAGCACTACCTGTAATATCTGTGCTCACTGTTGACTTCATAGGAGCGCCCAAGGACCCCTCCCTTGAGCCAGTTTAATCTAGTACGCACCATCCAATCCTATTTCTCTCAAATCTGTTTTGGTTTTTAATACTGACCCATCGACGCCTAGGTCTTTTTGGATCTCCTACACTATTCCTATCCATACCATTTTAACAATGTTACTGTACTTATGTCGTTGGTGCTTGCATGGATAAAATAAATTTAAAAAAAAACAACATAGAACTCTACAAAAGACCACATCATCATACGCTGCTAACACCATACAAAATGTAAGAATTAATTAGTCTTATACATGAGGTCGTACGTCTCCATTCATGATAAACATGTTCCTTAGAGTCGGATACTGCCTAGTTTCAAGTCGCACTATGGTCCGAATAAAATTCACAAAGTTACAGCTCATAGTTGGGGTTCCCATTTTTCGCGTTTTCAGAACGTGAAACGCATAAATCTGGAACTTCTTTTATAAGCGTCAAGCGACTTCGTAGTTCGTCGGAGTGCGTCCCTAGCAGCTCATATATGCGTGTAGGCAGCAGACGTATTGATAATGCTTATTCGAAACACTCCGTGTATTTGAAGTACAACAAACTCGTGCCGCAGAAAACGGTCCAATGGCAAATCTACTTCAAAATGTTTAATATTTATGAGAGCACAAACAAAATCAGACAATCAGGCGTTGTCACTAACTTGACATAAATATAACCAGCCGCTATCCTCCCTTAAGGAGGAAGGTGGCTACAGAATTCCTCCGGTAGCCAACATTACAGAAGTAAAGTCTTCTAGATTCAACGAGATCTTACATATGGCGTTGCTGATATGTGAATGTTTAATTACGCACCAACCCTCACGATACCATAGACAATTAAACATAATAATGATAATAATAATAATAACAATTATAATATTATTAATAAAGAATATCCCTTACCTCAAACTTTGTTCAATTTTAAGATACCACAGCACAAAATTATCTAGTGTACGACGCACTTCCTTTACAAGCGATTCACAGCTCAGTTCTTTCCACAATAACAAAGCGGATTGTTGACGGCATTGTACACTAATGAAATACAACAATGCTTAGTAAACAATGGCGTAACAATTAGTTTCTTAGGTAAAGGAATGAAGTGCAATACGGTTCATTCAGACTATTATACTGCATGCATAATAAATGAGAAAACAGCGCGGTCCATATTTACACATTTTTGGTAGTTGAAAAAATTCAAAGAAAATTACTCTATCTTTTAATTTGGTTACATTCAATCATAAATGTAAGAAATCAATAATTATTAACAAGTACTTTCCAATAAGAAGTGAATATATTTAAAAATAATCGGAACAGATGTGAAGAAACTACAATTCCAATTTCGCTTATTTAAATATAACGCACGGTTTCAGGAAACGTGATTAATTAGAAGGATGATTTTTGAGGGGCCCGGGCGCCGGGCAAAGAAAATGTTTCCTTCGTTCGAATCCCTGTAAAGATATGTTCTGTTGTTCGGATTGCAATAACTAGGGAAGAATGGCGCTAATGCAAATTCTGTTTTTTCCTGGGATTGACTGACTAAGGTCAAAAGCCCGAAAACGGTCTGAGTCCCAGAAGATGAACTTGTAAGAACCTGTCTTATTTCCCCTTAGGAAATACCGCAGAGTCTACTAAACATGTGTATACTCGAGATTGGGTGTTGACGTTTGTTTGCTCGTTCGCTTGTGGCTCGTGAAGAAGAAACCTAGCGTAATTACACTTTAAGACAAATGACAAACACAGGAAGGTCAGAACTCTGGGACAATCGTCCTGAGTTTGATTTCCGGCAAGGGGGGGTTCATTTAACTCCGAAACAAAGCGAGATAGAACAACGGCGCCATGATCAGAGATTTTTGCCTGGAAGAGGAGATTACAGAAACAAAGGCCTCAACACTGGGTTCGACTCCGGACAAGCACAATGTTGAAGCAAACTATTTAAGACCTAATGCATTTTACAAGGCCAAAATCCAATAAAAATCGAATTTTGGGGACTGGAGTATTTCGCCGTCTCCAGGTAAATATCCGACTCTGTTGGGCCCAATAAACACAGCTAGTCCCTGTCTCTGGACGTTACCGTTGCAAAAGGCAAATTCCTGCGCAAGCGCAAGACATCGTCCCTTGCTAGATAATGTTTGAAATTGTAAACAGAGCCTTATACCTAACACGAGGGTTTCTTCGCGGCGGAAGACTTGGTCATTCAAAGTAGGGTCTTGCTGCTGATGAGAGGAATCGCGTGAGGCAAGTTGTCCTTCATGAAAAGGATTTCGGTTGGACAGATGTCTGGAATTTGAACCGAGTGTTAGCTCTGAGAATGGGGGATGGGGGTTCACGTCAGCTGAAGGCCTCAATAATTTGGGGTTGGCGGGCCGTCCTGCTTTTGAATTATACCCTTGTATTTTCCTTACACCTCAGGAGAATCTCGGAAAACCTCACTCTTCCGCAACTTTCTGCTAGCGTCAAGTAAATCTTCTAAGTTCTTCTTCATCAAATTAGTCGCTACCAAATTAAATTTTAAGTGTGTCTAGTCTAAATATATTATGTCTCGGATCAATTAAAAGTCTTTCGGCGATGTTAATCAAAGCGTGATCACGTACATTGACCTTCTACGACTTTAATTCCCAGAAACAGAATTTACGTTTCTTCACTACGATCCCAGCAGTTGGTATGAAATTTCATACTTGCCACTTACACTGTAAGCAGTGATAATTTGGAATCCTTAAATATTTTTAGACCATCTTCGTATTAAAAGTGTTACGAAATTAATTAACAAGATTTTTTGGTATTGCTGTAAACGTTCAAAAATTTACCATAAATGGAGGAGGTATTTGAAGTACAACAACCTTGTGCTGTAGAAAACATTTCAATGGAAATTCTACCTCAAGTTGTTTAGTATTAAAATCAGACAATCGGGCGTTGCCAAAAACGCGACACAAATGCAACCAGCTGCTATCCTCTATTAAGGACGAAGGTGGCTATAGAATTCTTCCGGTAGCCATCATTACAGAAGTAGAGTCCTCTATATTAATGGAGTTACTGTCATATGAATGTTTAATTACACACCAACCCTCAAGACACCTCAGAAAATTATAAATAATAATAATAATAATTTAATTCAATTCATTTATTAAAGTGCTTGACAACATTAATATTAAATGTTTTCTCTATAAGGAAATTTAATAATAATGAGAAGAGGCATAAGAAAGATTTGAAATTTCATTTGACTTTATTTAAAAATTACGTCGGGTTCTATTATACTTGATTAAATTTTTCAAGGGCCCGGAGCTATTTACTCCATCACTCCTGCGATAGGGAAAATGTTTCCTGGGACCGCATGTGGCATACAGAACGCATGTTTCGCAGTTCTGGCGTAGACAATTGAAGTGTAATCGCCTCTGAAGTTGGCAGATCTCTTTTCAAGGAGACTGGGATGGAGATCGATTTTATCTACTTTAAATCTGAGAACACTCTATTCCACACGGCGACAACTCGTTGCGTATTTCTTGTTAATGTTTCAAGAGAAAAATAAAATGTCATTCCATTATTGACCCTGTTGGTTTACGTGTGCCGCCGAGGCAAATAAGAGAATTTTCTACTTTTAGTGTGAGCAGTGCGCTAAGACATAGTCCTTCAGCCAGGTGCGTCATCGCTGCAAATTACGTATGTATATCCTTGGACGTATTTAGCATAAACATTGTCTCCCTTGGGGGCACGTTCTCAATAAGGGAGAGATCTAGCTTGGTTATCTGTTTCTTGTATTTCTTTAACGTTTTACAATTATATTATTGCTTCCTAGGAGGATTATTTGCTTTTATTTAATTTCTTCGTTTATTTTTCTTTGTGTATATTATTGTTTCTATTTTTTACTTGCCTGTGTTTGGCTGTTATGTTTAATACTGTACATGTATAAGTTTAGTTAATCTGTTTGTGTAATATTTTTCATTGCGTGTGTTAGAAACGAGAAAAGAGCCTTATGGCACGCCCAACCAACATTGTTGCAGGTGTGGGTTAGAAATGAAAATACATTTCTTACATTGTTGTAGTCTCAGGTGTTCATATAAAAGCTGACCATTGTCGGTTGGTCCATTTTTACACATTATTGGTAGTTAAAAAAAATTCAAAGAAAATTACTCTAACATAATTTGGTTACATTCAATCATAAATGTAAAAAGTGAATAATTAATATTAAATGTTTTCTCTATAAGGAAATTTAATAACTCTAAATAGAGTTATGTTCGACAACGCCAGGAGTTGGCTTGAGTTCATCTTGGAAATTGCTCCTTCGATATTCTTACAGACACCAATTTCGAAAACAGGGCGTCCTTTCAGCTTCTTTCTCCGCCGTCCAAATGCTGCATGGATTTTGGTGCTACATGTGGCATACAGAACGCATATATCGCAGTTCTGGCGTAGACAATTGAAGTGTAATCGCCTCTGAAGTTGGCAGATCTCTTTTCAAGGAGACTGGGCTGGAGATCGATTTTATCTACTTTAAATCTGAGAACACTTTATTCCACATGGCGACAACTCGTTGCGTTATTTCATGTTAATGTTTCAAGAGAAAAATAAAATGTCATTCCATTATTGACCCTGTTGGTTTACGTGTGCCGCCGAGGCAAATAAGAGAATTTTCTACTTTTAGTGTGAGCAGTGCGCTAAGACATAGTCCTTCAGCCAGGTGCGTCATCGCTGCAAATTACGTATGTATATCCTTGGACGTATTTAGCATAAACATTGTCTCCCTTGGGGGCACGTTCTCAATAAGGGAGAGATCTAGCTTGGTTATCTGTTTCTTGTATTTCTTTAACGTTTTACAATTATATTATTGCTTCCTAGGAGGATTATTTGCTTTTATTTAATTTCTTCGTTTATTTTTCTTTGTGTATATTATTGTTTCTATTTTGGACTTGCCTGTGTTTGGCTGTTATGTTTAATACTGTACATGTATAAGTTTAGTTAATCTGTTTGTGTAATATTTTTCATTATTATTTCATTATTATTGTATGTATTATAAGTGTTTGCCTGTTATTGGCTTCTTGCTGTTGGTAAACGCTTAAATACATTTATTGAATCACGAAGAATAGAAAGCAACAGAAGAGCAACAACACAGAAGACAGCCATCTTCATTTTGGATGTTTGTCTTATTCCCCTTACTGGGCCAGAAACAAATACCTATAGCTAATCCTGAACTACATCGTGGTCGCCAGGCCTAGCGACGGATGAAACGACAGATTACACAAACATGAGTTGTAATCACTTTCATTTCTCTAAATAAAGTAATGTTCGACAACGCCAGGAGTTGGCTTGAGGTCATCTTGGAAATTGCTCCTTCGAAATTCGAATTTTCTTCATACTGGCGAGTGTGCACATCAACTGAGAGTGACTGAGAGAGAACACGGTATTGAGAAAATATCTGGTCCTGCGAGAGAGTTACTGACAAGGGAATGGTGAATATTGCATAATATGGAGATTTATAGACCTCTTCACTATTCCATGAAAATATGTTCAGTTGTGCTTAAGTTGTTGAAACCAACCCCCAACCTGAAGGACCGAGGTACCTGTCTTAGTCTGACCTCTCGCCCTCGACCAATCATGCTAGGGAGGCCCTACCAGTAGCTATGCTACCACCAGCATAGCTCTTGAGGTCCCTGAGGTACTGAAGCCCTACCACCAACAATACATCGCGAAAAATGGACTAAAAGAAAAGTTAAAATTTTGTGCGAAAGATAGGTTGGCGTATATTTTGCAGGAATAGTTGCCTCAGAAACTAACGGCGGATGGCAAGTCTTACCTCTGGCGTAAAACCTTCGTAAGAAACCTCCGTTATACGCGTTGTGTTGACACTCCTGAGGTGCCCCAAAAGTTCCCGGGGGTCGTCAGTTTTCACACCAATCTTCTCGCCCAATCTAAATGTCATTCGCTTGGAAGAATTCATGAAGGCCCAGAAATTTAAAACGGAATCA